ATGTTGTATCTCCAAAATTGTTCAGTAATTTAGTTCCTAATATACGACCCATTGCCACTAAGACTCAGAGATTTTCAGACGAAGACAAACAATTCATTACCTGTGAGGTACAAAACATGCTATCTGAGGGCATTATTGAAGAGACTAACTCTCCCTGGCGAGCTCAGCCACTAATCACTGTGAATGAAAACCATAAGAAACGTCTAGTTATTGACTATTCACAAACAATAAATAAATATACTTTACTTGATGCTTACCCACTACCCCGGATTGACGACATTGTATGTAAAGTGGCTAGCTATGCCATATTCATTACTATTGACTTGAAATCAGCATATCATCAAATTCCCATTTCTGTAGAAGAAAGACCTTACACAGCATTCAAAGCTGATGGTAAGCTATACCAATTCACTAGAATCCCCTTTGGTGTCACTAACGGTGTAGCCTGTTTTCAAAGAGTGATAGACTCCATAATATCAAAAGAAAATCTTAAAGGAGTGTATGCTTATTTAGATGATATAACCATCTGTGGCGGCTCTCAAGCAGAACATGACGAGAATTTCCAAAGGTTTCTTCAGGTAGTTAAAAAGTATAATTTCACTTTAAACGGTAAGAAGTCCAAGTATTCTCTTAGTTCAATAAAGCTATTAGGTTATTTGATATGTAATAAAACCATGAGACCAGATCCAGACAGACTGAAACCGTTGTTGGAAATGCCTCCTCCCAAAGATGCAACATCTCTTAAGCGTGTTGTAGGAATGTTTGCCCATTACTCTAAGTGGATACAAAATTTTTCAGACAAAATACAAAACTTGGTCCGTTGTAAATCTTTTCCTTTGCCTCAATCTGCAAAATCTGCCTTTGATGAACTGAAAAAGGACATTGCCAGCTCGATTATTACTACCATTGACCCAGAAAGTCCTCTACTGCGGTAGAGACTGATGCATCTGACTTTGCTTTTGCTGCAACTCTAAGTCAAAATGGAAGACCTTTAGCATTCTTTTCCAGAAGTCTTTCTGACACTGAACGAAGACACTCTGCTATTGAAAAGGAAGCAAGTGCCATTTAGAAGCTGTGGAAATGGAAACACTTTCTTATCGGTCATCATTTCAAACTAATGACAGATCAACAAGCCCTTTCCTTTATTTTTGATATGAATCACTCAAGTAAGATCAAAAATGACAAAATTTTGTGGTGGCGACTTGAGTTGTCGTGTTACAGTTTTGATATCGTGTATCGTCCAGGAAATAAAAATGTTGTAGCAGATACATTCTAAAGAGTCAGTGCCTCAGTTACTGAAAGGCCTAATCGTCTCTTTGATTTACATCAAGCACTAAGCCATCCGGGTGTGACTCGAATGTACCACTGGATTAGGAGTAAGAATCTTCCTTATTCCCTACAGGAAGTAAAGAATATAACAACGTCGTGTCCTGTTTGTGCTGAGCTTAAGCCACGTTTTTACAAACCTGTTGATCAGCACCTAATCAAGGCTACTTCGCCATTTGAAAGATTGAATATTGACTTCAAAGGACCTATTCCATCCAGCACAGGAAATAATTATACCTACAATCATAGATGATTATTCCAGGTTCCCATTCGCTTATCCGTGTAGGAATACTACTAAACAAAAAAGTTCGTCTACTGTGATTAATTGTCTTAGTAATCTATTTTCAATGTTTGGAATTCCAAGTTACATCCACTCCGACAGAGGATCTTCATTTTTATCTCAAGAACTAGTATCGTTTTAACATTCTCGTGGTATCGCCACAAGTAAAACAACACCTTACAATCCAGAAGGAAATGGACAAGTCGATCGCTTCAACGGAACTCTTTGGAGAACAATAACTCTTGCACTGAAGACAAATAATTTACCAATTAGGCAGTGGGAGCGTGTTCTCAATGATGCATTGCATGCTATTAGATCTTTACTGTGTATGGCTACCAATGCAACTCCCCACAAACGCTTCTTTGTACACTCTAGTAGATCAAGCAATGGAATTGCTTTGCCCACATGGCTAAGTTTTCCTGGACCAGCTCTACTAAAATGTCATAATCAGTCAATCAAGTACGACGAGAAAGTGGATGAAGCAGAGATTATATCGAAGCTAACTCTCAGTATTCTCGTGTTCGAAATAAAAATGGACAAGAATCGAACAAGTCTCTAAGGCATTTAGCTCCTCTAGGGGATGTGAGACTTCTCAGAGATTAAACCAACACTGCTATGGCCCAGACAAAAAATGTTAACAAAAAGTTAGTGCTACCAGCGGGATTCGAACCCGGTACCTTCATATTATCAGCCAGGAACGCTTCCACTACACCACCGAGGCCAATGACTCACAATGGTATCGTTGCAGTAATGAGGTAATTTCATTAATGCGGGCGGTAATTTCAAAAATCTCTAAAAATATAACGACTCTCTCCCACTTACAGGATTAAATTATCCTTTGTGGGGGATAATTTCGCTTTGTAAATATTTTTGTACAGGGATCATAATATTATGTAATGTCTGTTTTTTGCAAAATAAATGATATATTTTGATTTGATTGATTTGATTTGGTGTTCCCTCAAGAGAAGAGATCTGACAGCTGACGTCATCAAAGGCTCTTCTATACCTCCCTTGAGTAAATACATAAAAGTTGGAGGTTGCTTGTTGGTTAGGTTTGGTTAGGTTAGGGTTGGTTAGGTAAGGTTTGGTTGGTTTAGGTTGGGTTATGCTTAGTATAAACAATTTTAATAAAATAATGACCAGCTACTCAGCTGGTAATTTAACTCAGGCAAAAGTTTGGAACAAAGATTCAAAATAAGTTAGCATCGCAGATTTTCGGAAATCTCGCTTTTCAATTGACGTCGGATCCAAAAAATTCATGAATAACTTATTTGTGATCTGTTTAATAGTGATGTGCAAGATGTTAATAGGCCTACATAATACAATCAAATCGTTTTGATTGTATTTTTGCTTAGCGAGAGGTTCTTACCAAGAGGTTTTATCGAGATGTTTGCGGCGATTGTTTCGTTTCAGCACGCTTCTCTCGTATCTCATATTCGTCTAAAAGACAACCAAGAAGCGAGAAGTCCTTACCGAGAGTCTTTTTAACGGGATGTTCATAGCGATTGTTTTGTTAAGTACGGCATCGGCAATTATTAATCATCATTAAATTTTTGTTGCATCTGCCGGGGATTGACCCCCAATAAGAGGTCTAACTTACTTAATTTAAAACAGAGAAAGGTTTATGGATACCTATATTACTTACTTTATCTACGGAATAGTGACTAATAACTTACCACTCATTAAAAGACTATTTGACTATTAATTGACGAGACAATATATTTTACTAACAAAATGTTTGTAGCCTATTTAACTTAAATCAAAATGTTTAGGTTATAACAAGACTAAAAGTTCTCGTAAATGTTATTTTAACAATATTATTTACCATTACGGTACTTTAAAATCATTTTTTTATTTCTGTTGAGATACTTACAGAGTGACGTAAATGTTTATTCATATGTCAGCAGTAGCCTATAGGTATCTTTGACAATAGAATAGTCAATAGTTGTACGGTACATAATAGATAATAGTCTGCTATTCTATAAGAAATAATCTAGAAAATGAATTAACATCATTGTAACAACTCCCATGAAATGTAGACAGATACAGACAGGCGTTTAGGCTTAACAAATGCAACAATCGAGAGAAACTTACATCTCTCGATTGTACAAACACCTCTCGCCAAGGAATCGAAACAATCGATAAGCGGAACCTCTCGAGAAGGAACATTTCGATTGTTAAAACATCTCGCAATCGGGCATCACTAAGTTTACTGCTTAATATTCCAGTTAATTTGTATTAAAACCCCACATGACATGTTTTGGTAAAAAACATTTTTGGGGGACTCGATCCCTATTTTGTTGACCCGGGTCAACAAATTCAATATATTTAGGAAAAATCCCACTTGGAATGTAGATATTTACATGAAAATTGGAAAGAAGGTTTATCCACATGTATTCTACTCGTATGTAAAATTTGGTAACGATTAAAAAATACTTACCAATTTTATTAACTAAAAACAACCCAAAATAGTTAAATTTTTTTTTTGTTGACCCGGGTCAATCGCCTAAAAAAGGTACTTAAAATGAAACTATATACATGAAACTGATGGGCGTGACAGAAGATAAGAGAAAAAAAGAAATGTATATATGTATAATATTGTAATTATTATGTTAGAAAAAAGAACGAACTGAAAAAAAATATATAGTCCCTGGAAATATGTTTGTAAGTATACTCAGCTTAATTAGCTATTTACGACGGTTTTTTGTTAATAAAATAGGTAAATATTTTTTAATCGCTACCAATTTTTACATAGGTACGTATACAATACATGTGGATATACCTTCGTCCCAAGCTTCATGTACTTATATAGTTTAATTCTAAGTAGGCCTACCTTTTTTCCGCGATTGACCAGAATTAACAAAATAGAATTAGCTATTTTGGGTGGTTTTTAGTTAAAAAAATAGGTAAATCTTTTTTAATCGTTACCAAATTTTACATACGTGTACAATACATCTGGATATACATTTGTTCTAAGTTTTAGGTTTTATGTATATAGTTTAATTCTAAGTACCTTTTTTAGGCAATTGACCCTGGTCAACAAAATAAAAAATTAACTATTTTGGGCGGTTTTTAGTTAATAAAATAGGTAAATCTTTCTTAATCGTTACCAAATTTTCCATACGTGTACAATAGATGTGGATATAGGCCTACATTCGTTTCAAGTTTCATGTAAATATCTACATCCTAAGTGGTTATTTTGCTAAATGTATTGAATTTGTTGACCCAAGTCAACAAAATAGTCAGTCCCCCATTTTTGGTCGTTTTTCCGCGGAAAAAAAACGTCATTGTCGAAATCAGCGTTGAATTTCGAGTGGGCTAGAATGGAAACAAATTTTTTTTAAATCACGTGCAAAGCGTAAAATGCAAAGTTTACCCTAAAATATCAACTTACCTTTGATTCCTTTTTGGATTTGAAGCGTCGTTGGAATTCTCGAGGGCTTTGATGATTAAGATGAACTCTAAGCAAGGGAGATTGGTATGAACTAATATTATAAATAGAAGAATAACTGGTGCAACTTTTCAAGGGTGAACGGCAATCAACACAAGTTGTAACAAATCTTTCGGCGCTAAAACTATATCTAGGCCTACTACTATTTAGAGGTTTTGAATGCTCACAATAGAGCTTAACCGTCGCTCTTGAAAAAATTAAAATATTTATTTTGCTAAATGAAAATGTTTTCATTAAGACTTGTTTGCTATAGTTCATTATAACATTCATTTGTAAGCGTAACTTAAGTTACTAAATATGCTTAGGAAACTAAGCTCCATAAACCTGGGAGAAGGGGGTGAAATAAATTGATAAGATAACATTAACTAGAATTCCAATGAAAAGTGTCAAAGCATTAAAAGTACAGTTATTAGTTAACTTAAGTATACATGGATGTAAAACTAGGAAGTTTTGACACTGAAACATGTGTTTGAGGTTAGGAAGTTTTGATGCCACGGCCTTCTTGATCTACTGATCTGACGCTGACGTCATAGCTTAATGTTGGTTTATTGGCAGTTCACTTGCACAGTTTCACACCGATTTAAGTTAGTATAAATAGTATTAGTATATATATTATAAGTTTAGGCATATCCTAAATACATTATTATTTGCTTTCTTCGTCTCTATTTCGAAACACATCACCTTATTTTAGTTTCCTTCATCGGTTTGTTTGATGTTATATTTAATTGTGTTTTTATTTAGGTTAAAGCGGCTATTTGCAATTGCACTGAAAGCATATCGTAACTTAAATTAATTTGATCCCTTTACTAGGTGAATGGTATTGAAACAAACTATGATATTGTTTCTCTCTACCACAATCTTTAATACCTTAAATCATAGGTCTAATAACAATAATTATCTTTTAATAAGTTCAATTAGTATGCCTAGTGTATTTCAAACAAATTAAATAGTCTTATAACAAAGTAAATAGATTAAATAGTCTAGTTCTAGTATTGACACAGTAATTAAAATTAAATCGCATCAAGTATTGGGGGCTAAGACATTGACAACAAATACATAACCTCTAAATCGTAATTAATTAGTAAATTAAAGCAATAACAAAACAATATGGCGTCGACTCAAAAAGAGTAATTTATGCCGAAAGAGAGGAAGAAGAAAGTGCAGTCAACCTCCACTCAACAGCCAGATAGGTGTTGAGTAACATCCGTTTCAATCGCGGATTACTCCTCTCATAATGCGCAAGCGCGAGTAAACTGTTCCGTGGAGCTGTGACTTATATCAGATATCAGATCTATCTGTTACAACGTTTAACTTACAATGAATTGAATCATTGACTATATATACCTGTAGGTATAGTCAATGATTGAAGACAGCACACAGGAGGTTACAACACAACTTACAACCTCCTAACCAACTATAGTCAAGGCCCCACTAGAAAAAACAGGCCATGTAGGCCCCTGAATATGTGGTTTGACCTAGAAATAATTAGAACACAGATGAAACCATTGTTGTTCGATAGTGAAAAGTATTGAGAATAATATATCAAAAGTCTCCAAAAATATCTTTGGTGGAACACCACCATTTTTCCAAAATGGCGGCCAAATCCAGTAGTTTTTTGCTTTTTATTGAAATTCTGACTTTCCAGTCAATATTGGTGAAAAGTCGTCAATACATTTAATGTTCCTCCTGAAATTACCTTTAAAATGATACCAAATACATGTACCTACAACAAAAAATAAACCCCGTACAAATAATAAAATATTTCAAATAAAAATATTTGTTATAAATTAATGTAATAGTCCACCAAACTAAAAAAAAACCAGACACAGGGATCGTATAAAAATTTGCAAGTAAACATTTTATGGTTTTATTTTTATTGTTGTGGTGTGCAGAGTGACATACCAAAAGTTGCAAAAATCAGTCCACGGGAAACCCCTAAATTAAGGAAAAAATGGCGGCTTTTTCCAATATTGGACAAATTTTGCAACAAAACATACCACATGTTTTTTTGCACATTTTTTGAGATATTGACTTGGAACCACGGCCGATATTTATTGGATGGTCCGTACTTAATTTCAATAGGGAACGCTTTTTGGGCCGCCATCATGGATCAGCCATATTGGATCTGCCATATTGGATATAAATATTTTTTAATGTAATAATAGTGTTGTGACACATCATTATGAACTAGATTTCCACGCTGATTTCAATGCTGAAATCCGTTTTTAAATAAGTTTATTCGTTGCTTAAGATATATTAAAACGAAAACTCTCCCCTATACATCAGTTATGGACGTATTGTAAGTTACTTAGAAAATGTGTTTGGATTATTTTTCTCCAGGTATTATTATTGCTTGCAGTTCGTTCTAGCCTTAAAATATTCAGTGATAAAAGATCTTTCATTTTTGTTAGCTTTCATTTTGTTTTATTTATAGTTAAAACAGACTAGTTATAGACGAGGTACAAACCCCAACACAAAATTAAATTAAACTTTTTTATCAGTTTTTGTTAAAAGATTTATATCTCGGGTTGTTAATATGTTAACAAGTTCATTCTGGTATCAAAGTACTCAGTAAATGTTTGGCTTTAATTTTATTGATTATTAAATGACACATGACAAATTTAAAACGAATCATGTAGGCCTACCTTCAATGAACTATTGAGTGAATTATTGTTATTTTGAAATTTGTCTTTAGTTAAAGACATTTATCCCCAACTAGTGTACATGTTGCTCGAAATCGAGCAATTGCAAAGAAGTACAGGAGTTACATATACACAAATGACTTGTTTAAAAACTAATAACAGTCATTATTTCCGATGATATTTAAAGAGTCAACTAAAAGATTAACTAATGGAAATACTCACAATTTACATAACAGTCCTCTTCCAGTTATAGGGTTAATTTTTAACTATCAAACTGCCCATGGACGGGAAAAGGTAAGCTTACAATTTAAGTCAACGTAAAAAGGCTGTCAGCTTTTATAATGTACCATACCTAAGTTATTTATCCAATTTGTAGACAATAAGGTGTAGGCTACTTTAAACTCTACAGGACAGAGTTAGGCAAAAACTGACAGAACTCTGAAATGGTGTTATTTATAATAGGCTTACTCATATAGGTACCAAATCCTTAAAATAAAAATGCAATAACTAATATCATTGAACACAAACCAACATCAAAAACTATACACATTTTTAACATAGATAATTTACACATTGACTGTTTACAATTAACATATGTTCTTCTTCTCACTTTTAATTTTTGCTTCGCAACGGGAAAAATCTGTTTCATAATCATTGAAATAGATTTATAATACATTTTTATATAATAGTATAGATCATAGTATAGAATCTATCATAAAGTTTAAGATTAAATAAACTTACTACATAGTTGTTTAATTTTTTTGGATCAGCTGTCTGAAATTATGAAATAAGCATTTGACAGTTCTGGTTGTTTACATTTAAATGTCAAAGCAAATGTAAACATTGTGAATTTTCTCATGCTTCCATGGAGACCAATTATTAATATTTAATTTCTGACAACAGCTGGAGTTTCAAAACAATGTTTGTTTCCCATGTTAATCTTATGGAGAAATACGAAACTTTAAAGGGCCCCAGGGCCTCACTCTCTAATTATTTCTCCAAAAAGAAAGTTTCCTGCACAACTTCACGTTACGTTCTTTCCAATGACACCAAAAACATGTCAATCGGTTCAGTAGTTTCGGAGGAGTAATTGTCACAAAAATCCTGCTTGTGTATTAAATAAGTATAGATTCTAAATAACTCCCAATAAGGAATCCATAGCTAAAATAAAAGTCAATATTTGAACGAATAGCTATGACTAGTTTTTCCCGTTTTCACTCTGCACAACATTACAAAATAAAACCATAAAACGTTTTGTTGAAATTTTTTAAAGGCCATATCCTATATTTATCTAAATATAATTTCCAAGTTACACAGTTACAGTGATTTATAAGTACAGTTATTTGTTAGTCATATGTACCATCAGTAAAAACACCACTCCCAATCTGTTGGACCTGCTGGTGAACTATTTCCACGCCATACTTGAACCTGATAGTACAACCTTAGACTGTGGTAGTTTTCAATGTGTTTTTAAATTGTCAAAGTACGAAACGTCCATAAGAAATGTATGGGGGAGAGTTTTCGTTTTTATATATCTTAAAATCGTAAAACGCTATTTAAAAAACTGATTTCAGCATTGAAATCAGCGTGGAAATCTAGTTCATAATGATGTGTCACAACACTATAATTACATTAAAAAATATTTATATCCAATATGGCAGATCCAATATGGCTGATCCAAGATGGCGGCCCAAAAAGCGTCCCCTATTGAAATTAAGTACGGACTATCCAATAAATATCGGTCGTGGTTCCAAGTCAATATCTCGAAAAATGTTCAAAAAACATGTGGTATGTTTTGTTGCAAAATTTGTCCAATATTGGGAAAAGCCGCCATTTTTTCCTTAATTTAGGGGTTTCCCGTGGACTGATTTTTTGCAACTTTTGGTATGTCACTCTGCACACCACAACAATAAAAATAAAACCATAAAATGTTTACTTGCAAATTTTTATACGATCCCTGTGTCTGGTTTTTTTTAGTTTGGTGGACTATTACATTAATTTATAACAAATATTTTTATTTGAAATATTTTATTATTTGTACGGGGTTTATTTTTTGTTGTAGGGACATGTATTTGGTATCATTTTAAAGGTAATTTCAGGAGGAACATTAAATGTATTGACGACTTTTCACCAATATTGACTGGAAAGTCAGAATTTCAATAAAAAGCAAAAAACTACTGGATTTGGCCGCCATTTTGGAAAAATGGTGGTGTTCCACCAAAGATATTTTTGGAGACTTTTGATATGTTATTCACAATACTTTTCACTATCGAACAACAATGGTTTCATCTGTGTTCTAATTATTTCTAGGTTTTGCTATTTATTTTCTTATTTTAAGGCGCCTAATGCTGCAGCACGGGCAGCGCAACTCTACGTCACAGTGGTGGATGGTTGTACCATAGACTAACCAAGTATGTTTAATCTATGGTTGTACCAAGGATTTACAGTCAACGGTTGTACTAAACTCTTACCATTAAAATCTTAAAAACAACCAGCTTGTTTATTTACCTAAAACATATGGGAATGGTGATAGAAATACCATAGACTTACTATAGTCCGCGCTTTGCTTTTATTATTGACTATTGGATGCAGAAGACTTAAGTCTACTTTCTCGTTCTTGCTCATCCGTTTGTTTATTTTTTAGTGCCTAGACCTATCTCAAAATATGTAAACTAATATTATGTAAGTTAAGTTATGCTAGTTAAGTATTTACAAATTAATTTATACTTAAGTTATTTTATAGTTTTGTGCTGAAACTATAAGCACTCAATCACTTCACGCTGTATGTTCGTCAGGCATGAATAAAGTAAATTCTTGTTTATGTCTCATGTTTATCAAAATGTACTAGTGATTATGGTAAAGC